TGTGGGGAAAATTGGTTTAAAAAATGTCTTTTTCAAGTGAATCGGATAAGTTTCTTTGGCAAAGTGTGAGCTCTTTAGATCCTCTTTCCAACGGTATCCATACATTCAAAACTTCTCCCCTACTCATATTTAAAACACATGTTTGTATTTAATTTTGTATCTGCAAATTTTTAAGTTGGACAATAGTTTTATTCAAATTACTATGAAGAAATTTTTCAAAAAAATTCAAATCGGGAAAATGTCCTGGAAATCGGGTGAAATTCGGCCCAAATCAAGAATTTGTTCCAATAATCGGGAAGGCGGCAATCACGAAGAAAATCAAGAAATTTCCACCTAGTAAACGGGAATGGGAGGAGGACTATCTATTTCTCCAAATGATTGAAAACCATTTAAACTAAGTAGCATAGGCACTCCACGGGCAAACCTCGCTTCGGTATTTGTAGTCAAGTAGTAAATGCTGGCCTCGCTTTTTTCAAAAAGAGAGAGAAAATTCAATCTTTTTAACGGGCAATGAAAAAATATCTATAACTTACGCCTTGTAATTGCCCGGCTCTCCACCCATTGCTAATACAGCGCCTTCGCATTTACCTTTATCCAAATCCTCTAAAGAGGCGCACGGAAATCCGTAAAATGGAACAGATGAGTAAATACTTTCAGCAAAATATTGGACTGAACGCGTGTGTGAGCATTTGTCAGTTGAACCAACCGGGCAACCGGGTTGTGTCAATCCGTAATTTGGATAAAAATTAGCCGTTCCGATTGGATAGTCCATTCCAAATAAATTGCCATTGGTGTGAATAACTTCGACATATCTAATTTTAGGAAAGAAATATTTGCGATTTTTAGTCTCAATGTAATTTTTTTCAAACAAATTTATTTCTCACTTTGCATCCTCACGATCCAATCGTTCATTAGGGTTTTCCAAGGCGAAAAGTGGACCGGCTGGATCTAAACCAACTATTTTTGGTAATTTTCCGGTTTTCACATGCTTTCCAGCTAAACATAGAAGACAGTTTTTTGGTATGAGTTATCGATAAACCAATGGATATGCTAAATGGGATGAATTGATGTTGTTTTTTAGTCATTTAGTCAAAAGCCGTGTATATGTACGTTTTCAAATTGGATTTTCAGAAGAAAACAAAATTTGTTTTGGTCACCACACGGTGGCAGCATGCTCATGTTACCACTAGCGACATCTTGTCGGAGGGATAGTTATGCCCTGTGTGTTGGTACACACTTGACGTTTTCTGTCAAACCTGTAACAATGCATTTTGCAGTCATGGAACATATAACTATGCACGGTATACCGTGCAACAAGGTGTTATATTGCTTTTGCTGCCATGGCTAAGAAGACACGGTGCACCATGTGAAAATCACCGACTCTATGCTCTCCTAAACATCAAACAGAACATCGGTATGCCATTTATAGTACCTTGGGCATTTATTATAATAAGAAGACAGAAAGTAACTAAGCCAAAGCAGTGCAAACTCTTACCCATTCCCACAACATGAGCACCTAATGAGTAGCCAATCAAGGTGATGTCATCGATAGATACGAGATGATTTTTCACCATGAAATCAATCATAGCAGCAATTTGTATACCAACCGGTTTTACCCGGTTACGAACAGCAATGTAATTAAATGTTTGTGACAACTTTTCCCAGTTTACGGCAATCATATTCGCGTCGATTTTAGCTTTCGATAGGTAAGCTGAGGAAAGAAAATGTCAGAAATGATTATTGGAAATATCAATAAAATGAGATATCTGTCTTCGGCAAAGCTAAAGCGGACTTTCAGTTTTACAACTTTGCCGAAGAGTCCAAGTTGTTATCTTTTATCAGTTCAGCGAAAACAATGATAAACCGCAAAGACACGCCAAGAATGAACATCCTTTTAAGTATTATTAGTTGCATTGGAACATACTTCCCTTTATTGCAACTTAGTTGGACAAACTTGCCTTCTCTCAAGTCTCACCAATTTCTGAACTTGATTCATTTTAATTTTGAAATTGATTTAAACTTACCGTCATTGATGACTCGTCTCGTGCCACCGTTATATTCGAGAAATCCGTGGCTTATGAAGCGCGTGGGCACATTTTTATTGAAGTTCGATTTGGTGATCGACGTAATGTTATCCATCGACA